AGAATTAGATGTCCACAACTACACTTAAATAATTCACCTGTACCAATAAAAACAGAAGTACCTGGGCCTTCATCTAGACGAAAAACTTACTTGGAAATTACATATTGCACCCAAACGACGACACCTTGACCTAAAAGTTAAAAATATGAGCTGGCTAATCAACAGAAGATCGCAACTTTCATGTGGGGCTGTAGCAAACCATCCAACACCAAAATACTACAGACATTCCAGTCAAAAACTATTCGTATGTTAGCTAAAGCCCCATGGTATGTGTCAAACCAAACCCTTCATGCAGAACTCAACATCCCCTTCATCAATGATGTGATTGGTGACCACTCCAGAAGATACATGAATCGCAGCGCAGACCATCCAAACCATCTCATAGACGAATTATTCAACCCCCCACTGGTTGACAGACGTCCAAATAGACTTTGACCAGAAGACCTAGCTGCTAGGTAAATTCCAGAGAGTCGTCAATGGACGACACCTGCCATAAGCCAAGAACATAGATCATATTTACTTATTACTGTATTGAAGTAGATTGTAAATTAGCAATAAATAAATAAATATTCAAAATCTTCTGTTTAAATAAGATATATGTGATACCTGTTCGATAATCAGTTACTTTTCTCATTATCCAATCTATCATAATCAGGAATAGAGTAGGCGTCAGTACGCTCTCCTGTTTGACTCCACTTTCTATGGCTTTTTGCTCTGTACTTCTCCTGAGTCTTTGGCTTTGTATTTTTCATAGAAAAGTTTGATTAAGGTAATGATCTCATGTAGTCTTTCACATCTGTACCCTATTTACAAGCTCTAGTGCCTTAAGTCGATAAAACTTACATCTCTATCATTATTACATTAATTTGCTTGTTCTAAGATAACTCTAAGTGTATAAATGTGGGAAATAGTAGACTGCTTCGATCGGAAGCATCCAGCTAGGTTTCGTATGATTCTTATTACTTTTTTAGAGTGGTTTCATGTTTCTTCGACTGACTCTCCAGTTTATTGTGACACAGTTCGGCTTATTGACAGTTTCTCAGTGAATTTATTCCTAATACTTTCTTGTTTTAGGGCATCGACGTTGTATTTGTTTCTCCAGTTAGTTTTTTATCAATGGTTAATTTCCCACATCTGCTCCTGACAACTTGCAACTAGCTTCTCTATCTAGATTCAATTGTTATGTGGTCTATTTGGTTCTTGTTCCTCCCTTCCGCTAATTTCCATGTTTCTTTATGTATAAAGATTCTTCTTCCTTGCGTGCCATATCAGAATTATCCGACGTTGGCGATCATCATTGCCAAGGCTTTTCGATCTTCTGCAATATGGAATAGGTAATTGTCCTGCATTTGATATCGGAGTATATTCACGAATGTTATTTAACCAAGAAACTTGTTTTCTTCCTACAACTCTACGGCCCTATATTTTTTCTTTAAGGATCAGTTGTAATATTTTATATCGTCTTCCCCTTACTATATGTCGTAAATAAGACATTTTTTCGATGTTTAACAGTTCTCTATCTTTGTTGACGCTCCTTAGTACTTCTTTGCTGTCCAAGGTATCTTCTCATCATCATCATCATCCAGCCTCTATTTATCACGTCCACTGCTGGACATAGGCCTCCCTTAAACTCCTCCATTCCTCACGATTTTGTGCTCTTTGTTGCCAATTTTTAGTAATACGCCTGATATCGTCGACCCAACGTGATGCCACGTTGGGCCGACGACAAGGTATCTTCTGCACTATACAAAAGTACAGACCAAACATAGCACTTAACAATTCTTTGTCTTAGTTTTAAACTGAGATGATTATTGCAAAGAAATGACTTCATTTTCATAAAAGTAGTTTTAGTCATTGCGATTCTGTTTTATTTCTATGTCTGGATCTAGTTCGTCCGTTATCACAGTTCCCAAATATGTCATTTTGTGAACTTTCTCTACTTGGACTCAGTTTAATTGAAGCTTTGCATCGGGATGTGGGTCACGACTAAACAGTGAAAATTTGGTTTTGTTTGAGTTTATTTTAACGCCCATTTCCTCTCCTACCTCGTGAAAACAATCAAGTAGAATTTGAAGACTTTCAATATTATTTCATAGAATTACTGTATCGGCTGCATATCTAATCACATTAAGTATTTTCCCGTTGATTTTTATTTCATATGGTTGTCTCTCAAGTGCCTTTTTAAATACTGGTCCGAGTAAACATTGAACAATGTTGGCGACAATATGCAACCTTGTTTGACTCCTCATTGTATAGAGATTTCATCGGTGTAGTTATCTCAAATTTTTACGATAGCAGTTTGATTGCAGTACAAATTTTTAATAACACTAATATCCTTGTCATCTATTCCGATATTTTTCAGTATTTGCATTAATTTTACATGCTGTACTTTATCGAATGACTTTTCGAAGTCCACGAAACATGCAAATACATTTTTTCTTTGGCCACGGCATTTTTCTAATAGGATGTTAAGTGCAAAAAGTGCCTCCTGGTTCCCATAGCATTTCTAAAACCAAATTGGGTATCTTCAAGATCTTATTCACATTTGCGTCTAATTCTGTTGTGAAGTATTCTGAGGAAAATTTTAAGAGTGTGGCTCATTAGGCTAATTAATCGATATTCTGAGCATTTTCTCGCATTGTGTTTTTTAGGTATTGCGACAAAGATGGATTTGAGCCAATCTGTGGTAATCACTCCGGTGTTATATATTGAATTAAAAAGTCTTACTACTACTTTTATATCATCATTCTCTATTAGTTTCAGCAACTCAGTTGGTGTATCATCTGGACCACAAGATTTTCTAATTTTAGCATTATTTACAGCGTGTTCTGCCTCGCATTTCATCATTTCTGGGCCGTCAGTACAGTTTTGGCAGAAGTCGGCAATATTATTCCTGTCATTTTCAAACAACTCTGATATATACACCTGCCATCCTTTTCTTACTTCATGCTCATTTACAATAATTTTGTTATTATTGTCAACGAGTACAGAGGAAACTCGTTTTTTAAATATGTTACTTATTTCTTTTAGTTTTTTCTGCACATTAAATAAGTCGTGTTTAGATATTACATCCTCCATTTCGTCGCTTTTCTCATCCATTTTTCTTTGGCTAATTTGATCTCCTTTTTTATTCTTCTCTGCAGGTAATATTCTAATAATATTATATATTTCTGCAGTAATATTCTGTTTCATTAGATTTTATTAGTCGACGTTGTTCCATTCATTTCAAGATGCCCTCTGTCATCCATTTATTTTTCTTAATAAAGTTTTTTCTATAATCATTTTTTGTGGAGATTTCGTTAACTTGGTTTTTAAATTCACTCGATAGTTTTTCTGGATCTTCCAGTTTGTTTTTTATTCTATTATTACATTCTTTTTTAATGTTATGTTTTATGTTTACATCGTTAAAGTTAAGTACATTGGTTATTGGTTTTTGTCGCTGATGTTTTGTATTATTATTACCTATTTTAGCATTAAACTCTCCGATATTATTTTCATATCTCTTCTATATTTTGAAAAATAAGGCTATTATCGAGCACAAGTTAATTAAATCTAGCCCAAGTACTTTCGCTTAAAATAGCATCTTCAGGGGCATCTGAAATAAGCCAAGAAAACGTTTTTTAGATGAAGGAAATTAGTTCGATAAAAAACTCGAAGTTAATGGATGAAAAAAAGTTTTTGAGATTAACGTTTTAGACTTACTTCGTCAAAATATAAACTATCCGGCAAGTGTAGAATGTGAAAACATTAATTTATGTGTACGCTTGCCGGATAGTTTATATTTTGAGTTTTTTATCGAAGTTAACTAATTTCCTTCGTCTAAAAAACGTTTTCTTGGCTTATTTCAGATGCCCCTAAAGATGCTATTTTAAGCGAAAGTACTTGGGCTAGATTTAATTAACTTGTGCTCGATAATAGCCTTATTTTTCAAAGTTCATTTATTCGAGCATTCAACCTCATTTCAATCAATCTTCTATATTTATTATTAATCCTATTATACGTTGATTATAGTTGTTCGTAAAATTTTTCCTTCTCACGTCTTCTTTGTTTTTATTTATAGGAGCATATACATTTATTACTATTATGTTATAGTATATTTCGCTCAATTAATCCTTTCTAATAGTGGCTCCCACTCTATTAAAGCCTTTCTTCACTTTTGGGCTAGCAATATAGCCACTACCTTTTCGTGTTTATCATTTACATTTGTCTTCCTAGCATATGGTCTCCTATTGGGGTTGATCCACTGCCATTTCGTATTTCGCTTAGTCCAATAATGTTTAGCTCGTATCACTTGGCTTACTTGCGACAATTTATCAGTATCGTAAAGAGGTCTTAAATTTCACGCTCATATGAATATGTGCTCTCTTGCGTATTTCTCGTTTATATTCCATTCTCGGTCTCTTTCTATTTTAAACTTTGCTTAAATCCTTTTTCTTTGTTATGTTCGCTATAATTTGAGTGCGCTTTGATTTGTGTATTATTTCAATTAATAGTATTTCAGTGTAATAGGACTTGTACACATTTTGTTTGTTATTTGACTTCTCAATTATTTTTTGTTCTAGGGGCTTGCGGGTTTAGAGAAAACCCTTTTACCTTCACGTTCACTTTGGAAGACGAGAAGAAAATTTTCCAGCTAATAATAATTATCGATAAGATGGTAACGAATATAGCACTTCGATCGACTTTGTGCGAAGAAATTAAAAAATCAGGATTAAATAAAGTCTCGAAGGAAACAATGTGTGAACAAGGCGATCGATAACCACAAATAACTTTTATTATTAAATATGTAAATTTTTAGAATTAATACTCAAATATATTTTGATTTTGTATATTTTAAAAAATCTTTTCAGGCAGTTTTCTATCTTGTAAAACAATAAGATGGAATACTATTTTTAAATAATACAATATCAAAGACAACTAAAAATAACTAAAATTGTTTCATTGACGACATCCAAATAAATGACGCAGAAATAATGCAGGTAGTAATTTACAAATAAACCAAAATTTAGACTTTTCTAACCTATTATTATTAAATGGGAGTGATGAAACGAAAACGAAAGTTGCAATTCAATAGGACTGTTAGCGACTCATTTCATAGGGAATAATAAAACAGATAAACCGTTCTGGTTATCTGTGAGAAAAAAAAACACATTATCAAGTTGGCTTATGAGGGATCATTACGCAGAAGAAGTCCAGATATCTTTATAGAGGATATTGCGTGGAAAAAATTTAAAAAAATAGAAATTGAATTTTTTTCGGACTTTTCAGGAAAATGAAAATTATTCGATTGTTAATGTTATGTCGAGTTACCCCGATTAAAAAAAAAAAAGAATCATGGTTCTACTTTTTTTTAAAACCGGAGATATTGCAAATTTTTCTTCTCCAATTTGAATACCAACCTATTCAATCTCAAAATCTGACGGGCTCCAAACTTCTGACTCCACCACTTATAATTGGCAGAGCCCGTGCGAGATCCTTCACTTTAAAGGGCTAAAAAATTGCAGCTGAAAATAAATCTTGCTCCTCGTGAGTTCATTTAAAGATATATTGTTGAACCAACGTCCTATTTTATTTGCTCGAATTATGTCTAAATAAGTTAAAAAAACATTTATTAATAATAACAAATACAACAATTTTCACTTATATCAAAAAAGACTTTAATGTTTTTCTCTGTTTAAATTTTGAAGGTTGTTCGTCATCTGAGTCGTAAATTATGCGTCTCCTGGAATCATGTATTCCTGTTGTATCTCCAAATTGTGAATTTTTGAAGAATTCGTTACCAATGATGGTAATTTGAGGATGTAAAGGTTTTATCTAAAAATCATATATAAAATATTAATGTTCTAAAGCTATTTTCTTGTGGCATGTTAAAGTAATTACTAGTTAATATATAAATAAATAGTAATTACTATAAAATATTAATAATGAATCGACAGCTCTTTTGGTTATAAGCAGCTAAAAAACGGCGCGTGACAGTTGGAGGAGTGTCGACAGAAGTGACTACTTCTTAGAGCATGTTATGACTAAATGTGGGTTAATAAAACTTTATGTCTGCACATAAGATAAAATCACACATTTAAGTTTTTTATAATTAAAAAAAAAAATCTTAATTTTTTCCTTTAAAAATTTTGTTTAATGATTTTAGTAATTTTTTTGTTAAAAATAATATAGAATTTATACATCATTTACATTATCATTACTATGTTTTATTTATGTTTATTTACTTCATTTTGCTTTGATTATATTGGCGGGTGGAGCAGACAATATTTTCTTTATGACAGTTCTCCAAGTCGATAATCATATTTTCTTTATGAGAGGTCTCCATGTCAAACGTAACCGGGTATCATCATCTTTTTTATTGAGACAATTTGGCCCTTTTTCAATTTATATGTTTCTCGGATAATTCTTGATTTATATAAGCGGATGTGGCTATAGTTCTGGAGTTTTCAAAATCAATTTTGTGACCTGTATGAAGATGGTGTTAACCTAGAGCTGACAATGAATCGGAATTGCGAATATAAATGAAATGTTCATAAATTCTATTTTGGATTCTACGATTTGTTTGGAATATATAAGATCGGGGGCAGTATGCACAAGGAATTTCATAAATTCTGTGTTGTTCATTTCGAATGTTGTCTTTGATTGATCGGACAAGAGATGAAAGTTTTAGTTGAGGGGTAAAAATTGTCTTTATTCCTATTGATTTACGAATTTAGTCGATTTGGTCAGTGACAACTTTGATGTAAGGAAGAAAAACTTTCGTATGATGACGGTCTGAGTCTTTGGGTTAAAATTGAGACGGAGAGTAATGTCTGTGGATTGTCTATTGATGTGATTTTCGCGATAACCGTTTTGGGTGAGGGCTTTCTTTCTCCTAATCCATAGGGTCCTATTAAAATTTCATTCTGGGTTTCTTCTTTCACTATTTTTGCGTTGAAATCACGAAGCCCAAACAGTGAGTATGCTTTAACTAAGAGTGTGGTAGAAATTAATTAGCTGTCAGAGGTATTCTTCATTCCCCATTCATTCATTCCTCATTCAGTATTTTACCTCTCACTCCTAACATATAGTTTAGATATCTGGACTCTAACAAAAGTAATGAAAACATGTTAGAATGTTTCAAAAGAAAGGTACAAAGGCGAATCTATGGAGCCGTGAATGAAAATGGATTTCTGTCAATGTCGTTGTGGTGGAGTGACCTTCTCTAAAGCCAAATTGATACGATTGTCCAATAATTCTTGATTTGATTTCTTCAGTATAGTCAGCTGTCTTATTATCTTATTTCCATACCTCAAGGATCCGCTAAACAGTGCATGTTTTCCCCCTAATTTTCCCGAAATGTTTCACCTGTCAGACAACTTCTATGAACAGGTATTGCTCGATGCTTGAATATTCGAATATACTTAAAATGTGAAGAGGATGCCGTAATGACACAATATGGAAACAAGGTTATAACTAAAACTTTCGGGCAAAACATTCCACTTACTCATCTAAGCATTCTCATTTTCGCTACGTGCATTCTTTGTTCCTCTTTCACTTTAACTACCCAACATTCAGTTTCTGGTCACTTTAGATATATTCTGCTTTGGAAAGGAAACCTTATTGACTTAAAGAAGGCCTCTGGCTAAGTAAAAAAGGCTTTACGTATTATATCGGGCACATTAAAGGCCTCACGCGAAGAAATAGTGTAGGAGGAAGAAAAAAATATGGATAAAAGCTCCAAATATTTTATGGTTCAGGGACTTGGCTAATTATACAGAAAACACGAATCACTCCCGCGGAGAGCATTAAACAAATAATGGCTACAAATTAACAAAGAGAAACGATGAATTTTATATGGATATCATAAATGAATCAACCATCATGGAAGAAATCGACTGTTTTTCAAATAGAAATACCATGATTCTTACCCGTGGTATTTCAACTTGCCTTGATAACTTTGCTAGTGGCACTTTATAAACTTAATAATGTTTTTTAAGGTTTTATCATCGTAGGTCTGTTCCTTCTTAGAATCTTTTTGCCAAGAAAAATCTGTCAGCTGTTTAGAACATCGAATGACACAGCAGTAATCTCTTCTCATCAAGACCCAGCCGTAACATCATACAGAGTACAGGCTAAAACACATCTAAAATCAATAAGGCCATGGGAAACTCAACAAAAACTTCATTATTGAATAAAATATAGGATCCTTTGTGCAAAAAAAAATAGTGTGTGTCTTCTCCATATAAAGGGTGCAACAGTCTACGTAAAACAGTCATAAAATAACTGAATAAAAGAGGGGTAGATAGTATAACAACCAATTAGATGACAGCTACATCTTACATGAGTGATAGAAATGGAAATAGGGCAATACACCTTCTCCACTCATGTGTAATCTAGTGGTAGATATCTCCGAAGTTAAGAAACTTCAGCGGGGTATCCTGCCAAAGGTACGCCAATGACACCGTCATAATAGAGAAGGATCAGTTCGAAAACATCCTCTGTGAAATAATTAAGAGAGGACTGATTTATACAAACACATTGCGCAAAAATTGGCTAAATCACCTTGGCTGGATTTACAAAGAAAAGGAAATTCAACGTTAAAACCATCACAATAGAGGAGAGTAAGGAAAAAAGGAAGTGGTGGGAGAAACGAAATTGCTAACGAATTAGCCAAAATGGATTCAAATGCTCCTTTTAAGATACTGGGGCATTTTTGCGGAGTTAGTAACAGCGTAATGCTAAAAGAAATCAAAATAGGAGTAGATCGCAAAAGATCGAAACATTGGAAAGACTTATTACAGATAAGGAGAAAAATCAAACTATTTTTAAGTAACCATAACTACAGAAGATTTAATTATTGCATGAGTTTAAAACAAAAAGGATTGCGTATTTTAACAGAAATATTTGTTCAATGGGAATACAAAAATACTTGTTGGTCATTGTTGAATGGGAAATCGTCTGAAAACATTGAAGGCAGTAGACGTGACAGAATGCAGATTCAGTGAAGTAGAGAATGAAAACTCTAATACATGTACCACCAAACTTCTACGCTCTTAAGATATCCAGAGCATGTTATCAAGAAGTACATGATAAATATGAACATTTACCTAATATAAAGTCTCTAGATAAAATAACTACCTTGGAAGGAAAAATACTGCCTAAACTGCTTTAATCATTGAGAAAAGACAAGGAAGGGATTTTCATCATATACTTAAGATAAAAAATTGAGATATAATATATATATATATATATATATATATATATATATAATATATATATATATATATATATATATATATATATATATATATATATATATATATATATATATATATATATATATATATTATACGAAGCAGTGTGACTTCTCCCCTAAACATAGTAACAGTAACTTTATTAGACTTAAGCAAAAACATTTTCATTAGAAAGTGGAAATATTTTGCTCTAATCCTTAAATATTTTCAGTACTACTATAATAAGAGATCTAGGTGAGCAAATTTCCATCTTGAGATTAAATAACACTTCTAAACATTGACAGTAAGTTTATTAAGCTTAATTTATTAAAAAGACTTACCTTTTTAAATTTTTTAAAGTTTTTACCATTGGTTTGGACCTTAGAATCGACTTCATCACGAAAACTATTCGGTCTGATCGAAACATCAGACAATACATCTAAAACTATCTTATTCTTAAACAAATTAACAAACTCTTGTAGTTCTGTACTGTATTCATTTTTTTCTTCTTTCTTTATATGAAACGAACTGTTCTTTGAGTACCATCCGGAACCGTCATCGGATACTTTAGTTATATGTCGATAATCTTCTGGTTCTCGAGGTTCATCTTTGGTACAAGATAACATATTATCTGTGTTATCGACTGGTTTACTAAATATACTAAGTAATGGATTATCGGACGATAATTTAGACGTCCCTGTTTGCTGTTTCGAAGATAAAAACGGGTTATCTTCAATGTTACTTCTTTTTGTTAGCGCCAAGTTACTAAACGGATTCGGTTTTGTGATTTTTTCTGGTGGTGAGTCCTCAGAATCACTGTCTTCTCTAGTTTTTCTTTTTTCTCTCGTTGGTTTCTAAAATTAGGGAATTATTTAAAATACGTAGTTAAAAAAGGTTATTTCTGTTTTAGGCTATGTCTCTCAAATATATCATACTTATTATTCGCTACGTGTTCGCTATAAGTTCCTAAGAGCGGCTCCTAGTGGCGCAAATCAGCGAAGGTGTTAGCACTATTAATATTTTAGTCTTATATTAGCTGCAAATTAAGTGACTTAAACTAAAGTATATTTTTACGTTTGCCAAAAATCGAACAGAATGGCGACGAATCTTAGAGCAGGCCAAGATCCACTGAGGATTGTCGAGCCAAAGATGATGATGATAATATTTTTACGTTTAGATTTCATTATTTGACATTTAAAATTGAGGTTACCAGGTTATTAAAAGGTAAACATAGTGATGTAGTAAATAAAATTAATTATTAAATGGCAGTATTACTACTAATATGGATGCAATAACAAAAACTGGATTCCAGAAAATAAATCATAAAATACCTTTTCAACCAACTATCATATCCACTGTAAAATACAATTAATAATTGCCTATCATATCAATATTTTGGAGCAACATTAAGGCCGATTTCATAGTGACAACCTAAAGTATACATTAACTAATGTTCATATTAGACTAAATTGCATAACTGTTTCATTGTCAACCTAAACCATTCAAAGAAACTTACATCACATTGGTTTAAATAATTAATTATTTTTCTATCAACTTTTGGGTGGCGTAATCCGAACTTGAAGAAATATTTAGCGTTTTGTTTTTATTTTGAAAAAAAAGCAAAAAATTAAATTGTAAACAAACTTAAACCAACATGATTATTATTGAAATTTACACCTTAAAGTGAACTTTAATTTAATGGTCACGTCAAACTTTCGGGCGTAAGAATGCTTAATTTGGGTTGTTACTTGCTTCTGCTTTATTATGATATAAATCCACTTTGCTCGTTGCATTAATTTGTGCCTAGAAGTTGGAAACCGATAGAACTTAAATTTACTATTTTTTTATTGTATTTTTACAATTTATAACACAGCATTTCCGAAATCCCATTTTCTTCAATAGCTGCTTATGAAATATGCTAACAAAGTTTCAAGATTTCATTGCTGCCCGCGCACGATCGTTTCTCGTATCCCCCCAAGTACTTGCACACAACGAATATTGATTAGTTACTATTTGCAATTTATAGTGTGTATATGTGTGTGTTTGTGTCACAGATTCGAAGGTCAAACGTTTAGACAGAAAATACCGAAATGTCATGTGTTAATTATATTGTAATAATTTTGTTTAAAATTCTAGACAAAAATTTATAAGGCACCATAGATCAAAACTGTATAGTTTTTGAGATCTTCGTCTTTTTTTTCAAAAATTTTTGACAGATGGAGACAAATTTTTTTATAAGTTATTATCTCCTCCATTTACAATCGCAACGCATTGAAAACCTTTGCACAGAAAGAGTAGGTAACTTTCTTTTTTTTATCACGCAATTCTATCAGCACATAAGAATTAATCTCAGACAAACCCTGATAACGACCAAACTCAAAATCTGTTAATGATTCAGCATCTTAAAAATCAGACACAAATGAATCAGTATCAGTGTCACTGGATGATGATAGTGCAACGGCTAAAGTACTCTCTGTTAATTTTTTTTTCCTGGTACTTTTAGAGCGAGCAATTGCTTGCTTTTTCCCATAACGTTTTTCCTCTTCTGAAGAGCTGACGTTTCTCGTCGATTTCGACAATTTCTCCATTGTGATGAAAACTAGGCTCTTTATTTGTCAAATTTTGCTGCAGCTTGGCTAATATTCTTTACTATTTGTAAACTCTCCTCTAATAACGTATGTCCCTAAAGTTCTCGGAAAATTTTAGATTTAAAAGTATTATTGGTAGGGAGCATTGGATCAAGTTGCCATTGGAAACTAAAGTTAGTGAACAATTTAAACGATTCATGAGTGTGTTGCTTGTGTGAGTCCATTTCAAATAGGTAAAGAAATAATAAATAAGACTTTATTACTATATAAGACTAATTACTCACAATCAATTTAATTTAACTATTCAGACGACCGGTTTCGCTTTCTACAATATGCAAAGCATCTTCAGGTCTCGATACAAAGTTAAATAAATGCTAAAATAATAAAAACCCATATTAGGGTGTTGTCTAATAAAGATAAACAAATTAGATGTTATAAATTATAATAATTCTGCCAATATTACATGTCTGTGGTTTTTCAAAATGAATAAAAAGGAATAAAAAGGTATAAAAAATGTTTAACAGACAGGGTAAGACCCACAAATTGTTATAAAATAGTCTATTAGATTGCAATAAATTAATAAATAAGCAAATAAATAAACATTACTTACATGCCGGTACTCTATTAATTGATGGATGGTAGAACATGGTTGAAACTATCATGTATTGTTCAATGGAGAACTTAAGTCTGCTATTGTAGTTGTTTGACAATAAACGGGAAGTTCTTGAGGAGATAGATTTGATCCAATCCTATCTCTACTTCATTGGATCAAATCTATCTCCTCAAGAACTTCCCGTTTATTGTCAAACAACTACAATAGCAGACTTAAGTTCTCCATTCAACAATACATGATAGTTTCAACCATGTTCTACCATCCATCAATTAATAGAGTACCGGCATGCAAGTAATGTTTATTTATTTGCTCATTTATTAATTTATTGCAATCTAATAGACTATTTTATAACAATTTGTGGGTCTTACCCTGTCTGTTAAACCTTTTTATTCATTTTGAAAAACCACAGACATATAATATTGGCATAATTATTGTAATTTATAACATCTAATTTGTTTATCTTTATTAGACAACACCCTAATATGGGTTTTTATTATTTCAGCATTTATTTAACTTTGTATCGAGACCCGAAGATGCTTTGCATATTGTAGAAAGCGAAACCGGTCGTCTGAATAGGTAAAGTAAATTGATTGTGAGTAAGTCTTATTTATTATTTCTTTACCTAACTTAAACGATATAAACAATGTCAGTTTTGACAAATACAGTTCGTTAAGATGTCGTACAAACTTAATATTTGTCAAAGTATTTATCGTTTAGTTGGACGGGTACCAAAACGCGATATTATAAGAATTTTTAGTGCTCAAAATATTTGTCAACGATTTACCAGACAATTAAAGAGTGCGAAAATGGTATACCATGCCTTAATTTGCCCAAAAATGGAAGATCAAAAGTAGAAGTCTGAATTAATCTCTGGAACAGAGATTAATTCAGAGTATGGAGAACCAATTAGGAAAGTCTTCGAGAAATGTTGCCCGATGATGTAATGACTGTAAGTAGAACAATTTCTAGAAATAATTTAAAACAATATAAAAGAAAAAAATCCTAGAAAAAAAATGTTGCCGTACATTCATTTTCCTGGTAAAATTCTCATTATTGATGGTGAAATGTATTTTACTTTATTTAAGTCCGAAATGAAGGGCAACGACGGATTTTATACACGCAATGTAGAAGATGCACCGGATGAAGTTAGGTTAAAGGGAAAAGTAAAATTTGCCAATAAAATTTTGGTACGGTGTGCCATCTCAGAAGCTGGTGTTTCACAGCCGTTTATTTGGCGTGTTCGCGGTGAAGCTCTCAATGCTGACTATTACGTTGACAGGTGTCTTATAAAGCTTGTTTAATTTATAAATACTCATCACCCGAATGATGAAATCATATTTTGGCCCGACCGGGTGCCATTACGCCAGGAGAACGACATATTGGTTAACTGCTCAAAATATAAATTTTGTTCCCAAGCGCGACAACCCTGCAAATGTGCCTCAGGCGAGGCCTATAGAAGAGTTTTGGGTTGGTTTGAGTCGAATGGTGTATAATAATGACTGGGAAGCACAAAATGGAGAGCGGCTAAGGCGAAGAATTTTGCAAAAATTTCGTGAGATCGACTTAGAAACAGTCCAAAGGCTTATTGCGCATGCAAGACCCAATTTAAGTGCCACCGAAGATCAAGGACCTCTTTCCGTTCTATTAAAATACATTAGAAACCTTACATATGTAGACTTAATTTCTTTTATTTAGTCAATAAAATAAATATTTATTTTTTTCGAAAACTTTAGGGAGATAGTAATATCATTCCTATACGTTAATAAACAAAATGTCACTCCCATCGAAGATGTACGTATTCATTGAAATGCACTATTCCGCATTTTTTGAAACCTGCTTTTATGTTAATCCCTAGATTTATCAAACGCATATTCCACACATTCCGCGATTTGAAAAATTGTTATTGACATTCCTGGATTTCTCATCATCCATGAGTCCATAGCACTGTTATAGAATATTTTAAATGGAGCATAAACAGCCATATTAAGTGGCTGCAATTTGTTGAAACAATGTAGAGCTAAGGTAAGCATAGTAACTCTGTTGTCTTTCGGTAAATTTAGTGTCTCAATGGAGAAATGGCTTTTATGATTATCCAAAATCAGTAATCAGTATCAGTTGGATATGTTTTGAAACTGTTTGAGTGTTGTATAAAATGCTGCTTAACAGCTACAAATAAATGATTAATGCATTAATACCTGCGACACCTTGGCCAATATATACCTTGCAATGAATAAAGTCTAACAGCTTAGATGCAGGATGTATTATAGAGAGGAATTAATTATAGAATTATACTAACCTTAGACAAGAATCCGCTGGTTTTGTCTTTAGAACATTCGGCATTATCTTTACCATTTGACCTAAAAGAGAAATACGTTTTTATTACTGGAATATACACTCAACATAAGATCTATCATTGATCATAAAATCTCAAATTGTTTAATTTGTTTTTGTTTGGGAAAGTATGTACGAATTCTTTTCGTATTTTTTCATTTAATATTTTTCTGTTACTATACTGTAATGTGAACTAATTCAATGCTGTATTCTAACGACTGTGTTAAAATATATTGCTTCCTGTTATTTCATAAAATTACTGGCTATCTCATTTATTATGTTTTAAGTACGGAGAATTTGGCTTTCTCCGTACAATAGGGTTGATTTATGGCATGCTTTTGCCCATGAGCTGTTGACCACCCAACGGTCAGAGGGTGGTTTTTGCCCTAGTAACGATCTCAGGACATCTACTTCAATATACAGTTCAACATAAGACAGCGAACGAATCACAACCAGCCATCGAGCCCGGGCGGGCGTCCCGTGGTGCCAATGAGATTCCCCTGGCTAAGAATCTTACGACATCAATATTTCAGAGGGTATGTCTATATTCTTTGTACATATAACAATAATGAGTAAGACCAGTTAATTTCGTAATTTATTCACAATTGATAGTTGCTATTTTTCGCTAATTTATTTACAAACAAAATATTGCATTTTTTCTTTATTATTATTTATCTAATATCATTTAACCAGCGACCTCTGTCTTTTAGAAGTTTTATACAAAACAGTTTTCATTTCATTTCTCAAATTGGCCAACTACGAACACGATTTAGTAGAATAACCCAAACATTTTTTTTCTCATTTATATCATTATGGAAGAGGTTATAATGGAAGTGCGCAAAGGAAAAGCAAATAACATGGGTAATGCAGACATGAAGACACTATGATCTCACAGGCTTGTAACAATATCTTAATATGGTAATAGCAACTGAAAAACCAAAATGTATGGCTACTTTTTAATAGTCGGTATGATGTAAATTAAACTAAAATGTACCTCATAATAAGACATCACTACGTCCTATTATCAAGTAACTCCAGCAACAAGGCCTAAGGTAAAACAAAATAAGTATTGAAAATGACAAAAATCAAAATACTAAGAATAACCGGTAAAACTTTATGTTAGTAAGAAAAGTAAAAACATTAGAAAGCAGTACAAAATAGAAAAATAGATCCGGTTACCACACAAGAACAAAAAAGGAGAATGGAATAAATATATTAATAAAATGGTGTACAAACAGAAAATAGTAAAAATATTTCATGTGAAATTACCGATAGGGCGATGATGTCTTATGCAACCTAAAATCACTGATTTGGCTGTAGAAGATGCCAAAGATTAAATAGACACTATTACGAAGAATAAAGAAGAAACTAAAGAAGGAGGAAGTATCAAGTATCTTAAAACGACAAAGGTCTGATTATATTGGTCATTTATGTTTCATGTACTCTTTACAGGAATTATTAACATAGCAGATAAAATTGAGAAAAACGATAAATTAGTAAAAGATCATACTCAAATTACACGATTTCCGATATCTACGATTTTACTTTTGTTATATACTAAAACATTATCTAATCTAATAAAAGACTAGGATGCCACGTCACGCGGAAAAGCAGTTTGTCCGGAAAGATAACTCCTAGCGCCATCTAGGACAGAAACCTGAACTACCAACTGACATTTCAATCAATTGGGTCAATCATGTATTGTTCTTGAAACAATACGTTTAAGTAATAATACTAATTACATATTACTATAATTAATAACACGATTAATTTTTTCGCAAAATTCCCAAAAGTATTGGTTGCTGCAATTTAAGGTAGTAAGATTTATCAAGCAAAATAATGTAAAGCTTTATGTTAGTTTATATTTACTTGGTTTACATGCAAGACGTTTATTATTTAAAAATTTAATAAGTGCCTGTTTATGGCATTTGACTGGATCCCTCGACAACTTATATAATCCCTTAGATAAACAGTGTGCACTGATTATTTGTTTGCAGTTAAGAACGGGCTCTATTAATAGCACCTACTGATAATTTATAGTCGACTCACATCAAAATGAGAAGTTTAATAGGTTTATGGCTGAAGTCACATGCCAGAGAGAGAAAATTTTCAAACATATTAGTAAAGAGTGATTCTTTTAGAGCTATAGAAATGTAAGTTGGCAACTTTTTAACTGGTGGCCATTTTGACAGCAGTAGACTGATTAGTCGACTTGCTCTCCTTCTTCCTATACTCCTTCCTCCTTTTATCTTTAACTGTATTATCAGCCTTAACAGTTCATATCGCTGTTCCCTCATTACGTATCTCAGATACTGTAACTTTCTTATTTTTATTGTGTTTATTATTTCGCATTCTTTGTCCATTTCTCGCAATACTTCTGGACTGCAACTTATTTATGTGTTCTTGCTTCAATGTCCACCTTTCAAGTCCATATTGCAGTATCGAAAACACGTAGTGTTTCACACACATCTCAGTGCTCTTACTCTCAGTTCTAATCTAAGATCTTTGTTGCAGAGAATTGTTTTCATTTTTACAAACGCATTTCTTGCTATTTCTATCCTAGCTTTTATTTCGGTTGTTTGATCATTATTCTCTGAAATCCAGGTTCCTAGGTATTTGTATTTATCAACCCTTTCTATCGGTACATTTCCCAAATGTATGTTTGTTGGTATATTTGTTTTGTTTGTTATTATAATGTATTTGGTCTTTTTTATATTCATTTTTAGTCCATATTTTTTACAGAAACTATTTGTTTTGTTTAGCAGTAATTGGAGTTGTTCAGCAGAGCTTGTCATAATCACGGTGTCATCTACATATCTTAGGTTGTTAATAGATCTTCCGTTAATTATTATTCCTTCACTTTGAGATAGTAATGCTTCTTCAAAAATGGCTTCACTATATACATTAAATAGTAATGAGGACATAATACCTCCCTGCCTAACTCCTCCTGATTTAAATTTCTGGACTGAGTTCGTTATCTATTACGATTTGTGCTCTTTGATTCCAGTAGAGGTTTATTATGGATACCCAATCTAGTTGAGTTTAATTAACTAAGACTTTAAGATTTTAAGAAACTATAAGGGTATAGAATATACTTAAAAAGAAAGATATACATTTTTAATAAAAGTTGCTGTGTAAAAATATTCTGTTTCGTAATATTTGTTTAAAGCTTAATTGTATTTAAATACCTGTTAGTGTTTTCCCTATTTTCTAACTTTATTTTCTTAAATGGATTATTCTCAACTGTGTCTGCAGCAAGTCTCTTCACAGGATCACTATGTTTTTCTGCGCGAATATCTCGTTTTTCAGTTTCGACTTCTTCGACATCTTTTTCTTGAACTTGAATAACTTTCTTTTGAATTGGCGGCGCTTCTAACTGATCTGGATCCAAAGTCTCAGCAATAACCTTTGATATAATCGGTTCAGCAATAGAATTTTGTGTTTGGGTATTTTTAGCTAGTAGCTTATGCTGACTCGGTTCCTTATTGGTCCTAGCGAACACCTCTTGGACTCTATTAAATTCTGGATTGCAATCCTTTTCGCAAGATCCGCGGATAATAGCCATAGCAATTTCTTGGATTGGAATAGTACGCCTGTTTTGTTTCGACAAAAGTTTGATAATATCTTTGTATGATTTGTCATCAATATCTTTACGACTCTGCATAACGAGAAATTCTTTTGATGAGGCTGCTATTCTCTTGAACTCTTCGCAGTTATTTTCCCATGCCACAGAGGATCCTCCTAGATAGAAAAAAGTTCAATAAAAATAAATACGATAATGGCAAGCGTGCAGTTTATAAGTAATATAAAGTATTTGGGAACATTAAACATCAATGCCGTGATAAAAAAGAAGTAAACATTAATGGTGCATTTGTTTTTTTAAATGAAACATAGTATCAGCAAAGAATATAGACGCATATGCGTCGATATTCTTTGGTATCGGAAATAAACAATATACATATTTGAATTAAGTAATTAAGCTAATAAAGTATAATAATTGAGCTACTAAAACGATGAATCAAGGCTTGCACTGGTGCGTAATGGAAAATAACGTGTAAAATCTACATAGGGCGAAGCAAAAAATTTAAAAAAATGAAGAAAAAACAATCTATTAAAATAATAGGTGCAGAAATAAAACCAGCACAAACCTGCTTTTGATATTAACTGTTCTACTTGCTTTCTTTCCTGTTCTAACGTGAACAAAAATATTTTATCTTTAAACAGATTCTTCCTATCAATGCCGTTTTTGAACTCAACCTTATTAAGTAATCCTTCAACTAATGGTGGGTCATTATAATCACTAATGTCAGGCGGACGAAGATTTTTGGATACATTTTCTGCGAATTTCTTCCAAAAACCTGGCTCCACAGTCGGTTTATCTTCTAACAGCGCATGTAATACCTAAAAAATAAAATATCAGCAAAACCCTCTTAGAACTCTATAGACGCATATTCGAGGCATGATCTTAGATGAAACGAGTTACAAATAAAGTAGGTCTATAAAGAATGGGGAAAGGTGCCTCAACCTATACTAGATGGCACGTTAGGAAAGGTCTAGAAAGAGGAAGGATGGTTTCGTTGCACTACTTACGAAAATGGTTTAACTTAACTACTGAACTTTTTAATGCATTGGTAAATAAAGTCAGAAACCCTTAACTTAAACTTAAATATTTTGACTGGAAGTGGATTATATTATGATGATAATGATTACACTTTGTTATATATGAATTGTTTATAAACAAAGTACTTATAAATACCAGGAGAGAAATGAATATGATAAATGTTATAGTTTTTGTATTTAACAAATAAATCAATTTCAACTGATCTTGATTCTACACCAATCAAATGATAAATACTTTTATAACTCAGAAACAAATTTCTGCAATCGGCTGACTATCTGTATGTTTTGTCTTCGATCTATCATCATCTAATGAGCCCCAAAATGATCATCAGCCCATAGTTATCCACTACTGAACATTTTGTACAGTTGGTACCGGTACAGTTGGAACAGTTGGTACCGTTCCCGTCATAAAAAACTGGTACAACTCTTATAATCAAAAATCGTATCTTTTAAGTTGTGTACGTTGATCTTGTCATATGTGTCATTCTAATTTCTAGCGCACAGTTGCCAGTTCAACGGAAATATTATATCAAATCAGCTAAAAGCAGGACTGTGTGACAGACCGCCAGTTTAGAGTATACTAAAAACTAAAACATTATCGAGCATTCTTGATCACTCAGTCACATTAAATTTGTTTAAACATGCATTCTAAAAAATTCTCATATTAATTTTGTAATTTTCCATCATCGCAATTAAGTACTCATACATTGATTTGTGCTTTATAACAATTTATGAAAATATTTCAATTCAAAAATAATGACAGATAATCAATCTAGACAAACTTCAAATTGTTATAATAAAACATTACAGTAAGATATTGGATTGTAACTGTTACGTTTTGAAAAGCGTTTTTTCGCACCGAATATCTTATAGTTTATAATTCGTTTTTCACATTTTTTATCGTTCTTGTAATAAATAATAAATTAATATTGGTAGTTTGCCTGTTACAAAACTTATTGACGCAGAATACAGTTCGAGTTCGGTAGGTAATTAAAGTATAAAATTACAGTAGATGCATTCCAATGTTCCCTGTGTCAATATCCTAGGTTTAAAGATCTTTCAAACATTTTGGATAATAACTCAATCCTATCTCTGCTTATTTAATTTCTTAGATACGATTTTTTGTTGTTAATGATATAAATAATACCTATCTAAAAATTTTATACATTTTTGGACGTTATTTTTTTATTTAGATTTGGTGCAATTCCTTTATCTGTAACGGCAACAACGAATTGATTTCTGAATACAGGTTTACATTGGAAAAAAAAAGTGTACCAGTTTTATATGACGGGAAGTGAGTAGGTATAGCGTCGCTATGGACCAAAATGGCTAAGGTCACTCGCAATGATTTTTACTAGACACTTGACCGCTATTTCGCATATATCTACACTTCATGCATATTAATCATACGTAGTAGGAACCCGTGGGAAAATTCTTTCACTTTCACCAATCAAATGCACTCTTTTATTTAAATCAAATATCAATTAATATTAAAGTTCGAAAAAACAAAAGATCCCATGTCAGGACTTGAACCGACGTACTTCTGATCGGCAATCACACACCTTACCTACTAGGCTACGAGTTCTTACTGCAAAACGTTTCTTATTGTGAAGTCTTGGTAAAATATGGGACTCAATGTTTAAAATAATAAAATTTTAATGTAAATTATGATTATAGGTGATAGATAAGAGGTTAAAATAACTACGGACGATAATATATATTAAATTTAATTACTACAGAGAGTAAAAAGTTTTTCACATTTATACGTTTTAATTATTTGTTAAAATGGTAGAAATTTCATCACATAAGGCAATGAATATAAAATGGAAATGAATATGAAAATATCACCCCAAAAAAAAAACAAAAAGCTTAGTAATACCCTAAGAACCATTAAGATGCAAATTGGAGTTAGACAATCAAAATTATACAACTAATGTCGAGGAATATAAGAACTAGGGTGAAGAGTTTGTTTATGTGTTTAGGTGTACAGGGTAAAAATAATATATATTTTCTAGTTTTTTAATTTTAATTACTAAAAATTTGACAACCTTTTTCGTGTGATTTAGGTTACATACTCAGCTCTTGTTTTGTATCCACAGCCGACCGGTATCGATAAGGACAATTAGCCTACAAATAACCAAAACATTCGTTGTTTAAAACGTTTTATGGTAACCATGGGGTGCATACCACCGCGTGTGGAAAAACGTTGTAAAAATGTACACACAAACGTGTTTACTTAAAAATCCAAACCAATAGGTACCAATCAAGAATTTTAATTTACATCGATGACCTGCAGGTAAGTACTTCCGAATAAATAAGTTAAAAATAGGCATGACTTATCCTTTTCGTACGAATCAGGTGTTCAGCTCGAGTTTTCAGTAATAATCTAAGTCAACACGATACTTATCATTCAAAATAATAATATGGTACACAAACATTGTTTAAATTAAATTCGACAAGGTAATTTATAAAAGGCAAAGGTTACTTCAACATTATTGTGTAGTAACATTAAGACATAAGTATCTATATTTTTAAATACAACAGGGTACAACCATCATCTAGTCAATTCTAATCGTGGAAGGTGGTGCTCGAAACAACGTACAAAACGTTCCATTACATTTAACACCCGCGCATAAGCGGAAGATTGAAGTTTCGGAAAATAAAATTTGGCCATTTTATTTAAAATATTTTTAAAATATAATTAACATTTATGTTCTAATAGACAACAGACGGTATTAATAATAACAATAAAATTATGAAATTTTGCAGATAGTGTAAAGTATCGAATTGTTTAAATGCCATTTCGGTTCTAGCAAAAATACACGCATTAAAGCAACCTAAGTTCAAAACAGACGATTGTACAGTAGTATTAATAATATTAAAAACTTACATATATTCCTAGAACAGTCCCCGATTTTGTTTGTGCATTATTTCTCATCTATGCCGTTTGTGCCCCATGGATACTCCATGCTAGGTAGGTACTGCTTTTGCTTTTCATGTTCTTTAAAAATAAACCCATAGCTAAATATATTTTTTAAAAATTGAAAAAAGTTAATACTAAAAAGTTTTGTTTTACGGTCTTTGGTACTTGGTATGTTCAGGAGAAAAAGGATGTAAAATTAAAAATACAGGCTGGTGAAAATGTTAATAAACCACCAACATGAGTGTGAAATACGGTATTGGTTAAGAATTAAAACTGATCAAAAAGATGAGTATATTTTTTTACTACTATAGAATCTATATAATCTTACTAATTAACTACTGCCACCGTTGTTAATATTGAAAACAAATCTGATATGGTACATATTAGGGTAATGACATAAATGTATAGTTACTTTTTTAGTTTCCCATGGTAGGTCTTGATTTAGACAAGTTTCCAACTCACCGGAAAAATATTGATCTAACAGGGGCAAAGGATGGATCGCTTTTCAGCACTAAAAGAATTGCCCCATCATAAATCGCTATTTTAGGTGGTATTGCTCCAAGTCGCTGTTTTTTCCTACTTATTTATACAGGGAAGAAAACATCGTCAATAAAAAACAACCCTAAAAAGAATCCTGTGTTCTAGTATTACCAAGTGATTATAAACTACATCAAAGAGGTTATTTAAAGGAACTAAATTATCTTTCATCAATATATTTACATGTATAAAATATTATTATTAGTTTAAAGCACACTTTTAATGGTTACATATTATTAATTATCTAATTATTTGATAGTTCTACATTTTTAATTTTTTATACCCATACGGTACAGAGGTGTGGTCAGTCTTAAACTTTCGTTTTGTTGAATTTATTTGATATATTTTCGTTTCTTTTTGACTTATCACATCGTGCAAAGGGGTTCGACGTATCTGGGTTGATGTAATATAGATAGGGTCTCCAAAATTCATCACAGTATCTTTAATACTATCAAAATTAATTTTTTCCTGCGTTTCAAGCGTAAGAGAGATCCCCTTTACCCTACATTCAACTTGTTTCATTTTTTCAGAAGTTATATATTTATAGCTATAATTTTTAGGACCGCCGCTAACAAACTCTGTTATATAACCACCCTTTAATTCGTCTGTCATGTCCCCGATAAATTCTCCTGTTGGCACATCATATTCTCCAGGTCTTGATATATATATATATATATATATATATATATATATATATTTATGATATATATATATATATATATATATATATATATATATATATATATATATATATATATACCACTGAATCTGTGTATTAACATAAAAACAAGTCGCTGTTTATCCTACTTTATTTATACATGGAAGAAAACGTCGTCAGTAAAAACCAACCCTAAAAGATCCTTGTGCTATACCATGTCGGGAAGAAAATAAAACATGGATTAGCTGACCTGGTTTCTGTTAGGTGGTCGATTAGGTGGTTTGATCTTTAGGGGTGCTGTACTATAAATCAATCATAGTTCGATGATGAGATGACTATTAGTATAACAGTTTTATAGAATATCCATAATTGATTTCTCCTCCACTCCGAATGGATCATGTCCCCAGCGTAACACGTTCTGCCCCAAAATTTTGAAAATAACTAATTCCCGAACATACCAACACATTCACCTACGATAATTATAATCTGTTACAAATTTTTCTACGTCCTACTCTGGTAAAATGTTATTTTCCACCCCATTACACATTACACAATACTGCGCAGGTACCACCGTTGCCAGATTAGCCGAACATTTAGAACACGCGTCGAACTCATCACCTACTCTAAGAAAGTTATATTCTAAAGCCACGTGCTCTACATCAA